CCCCCCCCCCCCCCCCCCCCGCTTGGAAGGGCGAGCCGCCGAGGCAGCGGGAAGGAGGAGCGGCCGTGGGGAAGCTCTTCCTGCCGGGCAGCGGCGGTCTCGCCCACCCCGCAGGAGCCGGGCTCCCGCTCCGGGGGCGGGGAGCGGCGGGGAGATGTGTGCGTGTGTGGGGCGGGGGAGGGATTAGTGGGCATTAGCGGTTCCACGGCGGGTGGGGTGGTCGCGTCGGAGGGCGGCGGGGGTGTCGGCGGCCGCCAGGGACAGTCGGGGACCGCGCAGGTTGCGGGCGGCGGCAAGCGAAGGGGAGCAGCGGGGCGAGGGGCGGCTCGGCTGGGTAGCGCTGCTACTGCTGCCGCGGTGCATGTTTCCATATTGCTCGGTGCATGATTTAGAGGAGAGGAGGAGTTGGCAGCGGCAGAGAGCGGGGATCCGCGCCGCCAGCGGCCCTGCCTTTCTTCTTGCCCCTCTGTGGCATCGAGGCTGCTCTGCCTGCACGCCTGCCCTGCGGCGGCCCCCGGGCTCTCGGAGAGCGCCTGTGCCCCCCGGGGCCGGAGCGGCGGCGGGGTGCGAGTGTGCGTGCGGGTTTAGGGGGGGTGGGGGCTGTGTCTGAACCAGTTAGGAAGAATGACTCTGGAGTCCATCATGGCGTGCTGCCTGAGCGAGGAAGCCAAGGAAGCCCGGCGGATCAACGACGAGATCGAGCGGCAGCTGCGTCGGGACAAGCGGGACGCCCGCCGCGAGCTGAAGCTGCTGCTGCTGGGTGAGTGCGGGGCTTCCTCTGCTCGCCTCGGGCCGCTCGCCTGGGGCCGCTCGCTTCGGGCCGCCGCCGGTGCGCACGCCCCAGGTGCCACCGGGCTGCAGCCCGGGCATCGCCGCCGGCGTGGACTTTGCCGGGGCGCAGGCACCCGGCGGCGGGGATGGGGCAGCAGCGACATTGCCCGCGGTGCCTCTGGGCGCTCGTCGCCCCCGCCGCGGGTAGCCGCAGGCCGAGTCCCCGCCGCGGGGAACGGGGTGTGTGTGCCCGCCCGCGGGCATCGTCGGCGGGTGGGTTTGGAGTGGAACGTGAAGCGGCCTTCCAAAATGGAGAGGGAACGGAGGCTGGTGAGTGAGGGGGCTGCGGGACGAGGGGCAAATGTCGATGTGTGTGGGACAGCGACGGTAGCGAAGTGGATTAAGGAAGGGATTCGCAGGAGGAGTCACTGTGCAGGTCGATGGTGGCGGGTGTGATATCTGCATTGTTCCGTGAGCTTCGGGCACGTTAACTCACCGGTTGCATTTTTTACTGTGATTTTTATTTAATGAGGTACAGTGGGATAAGGGGCTTGTGCTCAGCTTGTGCACCGGTTTCTGTAAAGGAAAGGGAACGGCAAAGGCCCAGATGCGCATGCCAAGCTGATGGGTAACCTGAAGTGTGCACGATCTTTAATACCGTTGGAATACACCCACTGGTCAGGAAATAAAATCAACTAAGTGTATAATTTCTCTTTAATTATAACGGAGGTTTCTATTTTAGTACATTTTATGTACTATTTTAGTACATACTCTGCAAGTATGCAGAGGCGGCATTTACCTAATAGAAATTTGACTTACGTTAAAATAAGGCTTTCGAATTAAAATATGCCTGCCCGTGTCCGATGTGATGCACTAGGTCGCTTAGCTCCCTGGTAATAGTTCCTGCCTGGACTCATAGGCCTTTAAGTATTTTTGCACTACTGTCTGGTGTGTGGAGGAGTGAGTATGTTCCAAATGGATGTGGGATGTTTACAGGGAAGATTTCTTTTTTCTTGGGCCGCGTATATGGAAGTAGTGATTTATACTGGGGAAGTAAACTGCCTCTTCAGTGAGATAAGGCAAGTTGAAAGGAAAAGTTTGAATACATTTTAGTGCTTCTATGTGAATATGCAATTGTGTGAAGGTTATCTTCTGGATACAGAGAAGGTTGAGGTCTCTTAACTGGTCTGGGAGAGAAGTAGTGGACATGGATGCAGCACTCACAGTAATAATGTTCTGTCGGATTTTGGTTTATGGCAGTGCATGGTGTGACTTTCAAGATTCACAAAGAAGATAAAATAGATTGCCCTCACTTAATATTATGGATGTCTAAGTATGAGTAATGATAGACAGTCGCTTCAGGAGAGGCAGTTCGTACATTTGGTGTGTTACTCGGTCCAGATTTTTTTCTGTATGTTCTTGATTTCTCTTACAGTAGTGCTGGAGGCTTCTCCCAGATTTTCAGAAACATATGAAATTCACTGAATGAGACTGATATCTATTACCTAGAGAAGAAATTCAGAGATTAACTTCTGCAGTTAGGAATGCAGAACTTGAGCTGCTTTGCAAGGTCCTCCCACCACTAACATGAAGTATTGGGGTAGGTGGTGGTAGACTGTAGTCCAGTTATGACATTGTTTTGGACCAGATAATGTGTGGTGATTTGCAGACGAACAGGGGAGAAGCCAACCCATAGAATGAATTAGGGAAAACTGTACTGAGCTCCTGTATAAAGGATTTCTGTGTTCATCATCAGTGCCAGCTAAGAGTTCCAACAGGCTTGTGAAAGTGGAGGCATGATGTACTAGAGATCTAGAGGGGTGAGCTTTTGGCTGCATGTACTTAACAGCACATCTATATATCGGAGTAATAAAACCAGTACAGAAATTGTTACTGTGCACACATTTTTAGTCTTGTGTTTTGTCAGCCTCTGTCATATGTTTGGCTGAAACTGTATGTGCACATTTGGATTAACACTTAATGATCTTGTCGTGTGAAATGCAGTGTGTGGCGAACAGCTCTTGGTGTCTTGGTTTGCACAGAAGTTTCAATTTCTGAAAGAATTTCAGGGAAACTAATTTCATCAGTGGGTTTATTTTAAGTACCTTAGAGCACTTTTTTTTTTGTCTCTTTCATTGCTTCCCCAGCATAAGCAATTGCTCAGCTACTAAGTTTGTTGTCTGTATGAGCCATTCACATGGTTATGAGACAGAAAAAAACATTTTCACATGAAAATAAATTCATAAAAAATGATGAGGCTGGTAGCATGAAAGCCATTTGAACATGCTTTAAATAATCTGATTTTGTTTTTAGTACTGAATAGATGTTTACTGTCCCATTTCATCTCTTTCCCTTCATTTTTTAGGGGGAAAATCACTAGTGCTCTTTAGTTTTATGGAAGCATAAGCAAACATGTTTAGCTTTTTACTTTTTTTTTCTCTTTTTGGAAGTGCCAATTTCTCAGTCCTACTCTCTTAAGTATTGTGGGTCTGAAAAACCTAAGCGTGTTAAGGGTTTTTAAATATGGGACTAAGGAATATCCTTTGACTTGTAAAGAGCATACTAGTGCAGTTTAAGCTGAGCCTTGTTAAGTGGCTGTGCATGTTCTTCAGACTAGTTACAAGTGCAAAGTGAAAGGTATTATCGACCTTTGAAGGCGCAAACAAGTGTATCTGTGCTAGGTTGTTTTATTATTACACTTGCTTAAAAATTAAGTGTACAAACATAAAAATGCAAGCTTTTTTTAAAGAAAATACATTTTCTTTATGCAGCAAACATAAAGAAAAAATTAATCTTTTTTGTTCAGAGGAAAAGGTTTTTTCCCTCCTTAACTCATGAAAGACACAGTGCCTTCTTGGAAGCTCAGGTTCCTCGTAATTGTCTCTGACACACACACACACACTGCTTTTAATGTGCTCATGATATCTTTTTTACTTTTCATGAAATCAAAGAGTTCAAAATCTGAAGTAATTCAAAATCTGAAGTAATTTGTGCAAAACTTTTACTGTGTGCTAAGATTATTTTTGGTATTAGTTTAAAAATAAACATTCTTTGATTAAACATTTAAATTTTAAACATTAAACTTTTAGGTACTCTTTTGTACATCATTACTTGAATTTTTATTTTTTTTTAACGTGTTAGAACAGGACAAAGTTTCTTTTTTTTACAGTTGTAATTGTGGAAAGACAGAATCCATAAATATGTACTGAAGCGTACTGCATACTAGTAGTTTCAACTAGCACAACTTGGCTGTAGTTTTTTGAGACACTTTGGAACAAATACAGTCTTCCACTGAATTTGGTTTACATCTGTATTTTTCAAACTCTTCTGGATGTCATTACTGCTGAACACTTCGTAAAACCCTGTGATTGTTCTCCAGAGCTTACAGTTGTTAATATCCATCCATTGTTTGCTGTTAGCTGTAAAAACACATTGTTTTTATAATTAGGGGAGGAAACAAAGAGGTGTTCTAACGTTTCATATCATTTATGCCACTGTGCTCTGCATGCTTTTATTTTAAGCATTTATGTACATACTTATATTAAAGTAGTATGAGCTATATACTTAGGTACATAAGTTTTTTTTAATACTTCCACGTATAATTTTTTCCTGCCATCCATGTACATTTTCCAGGGACTCAGAAAAAGCAGCATTTGAGCCTGCATGACAGGTTGTAGCCATAAACCATCAGTCCTGGACATAGTCTGCCTGTAGACTCTAGACATCAATATTGTATGCTATTTTCTTGCTGAGAAATGCCTTGAGTATCTAAGAAAATAATGTGCAAAGGGTTTGCTAGCTATGCCTATGTGTCTGTAAGCCCTGGCCAGATTAGGTATAGGAGATGTGTGTGACAGGGCTATTTTTTTGCAGCATATTGGTTGGTATTGTGTCACGTGCAAAGCATGTTTTTTTAAGAGTTAGGTGCTTCTTATGTTGAAGATAGTGAATGTGTCAGTGAAGAGACTTGCTTTGATTCAAGTGTCTTTCTATTCTCAGTGGTGTAGCGCAGAAAGTAAATGGACGATAAGCCATTTGAATTGGCATGAACAGCAGTCAGTCTTACGCCAAAAGATGCTTTTGAACATAAGATGAATATATGTATTATTTTTTAAACTCGTGTCAACAGAATTAGATGTTGAACATGCAGAACTTGGTGTAGTAACAGAGGCAGACTTTGTGTAGATAGGTTGAAGAGGAAATGGGTCCATTAAGCCAACAATGGCAGACTCTTGTTTCATGTAACTTCAGCTGGAGAAACAAGCTTCCTTATTTTTCTTTTAACTTGTATTTTTATCAGTCTGCCCTACTCATACTGAATTCTTTCGAACAATTTTAGCTAATTAACACAGTACATATTTACTACTGTAAAATGAACAGATAATTAACTTGCATCTTCATACATACAGACACTAGATAGGTAAATATCTCTTATTTAACAGAAGCTGTTTCTAAGGATATATAATTTCATTCTGTATGTATTAACATTTTGATGTATTCTCATATACACAAATATGTCGATATATATGAACATCTCTTTTTGTGGAGTAGGAAAACACAAATCATCATTTGGATATGCATGATAGTCTGAAGTACATATCTCCAGAAAATATTTAGGAACATTTAAGGATACCTGTGTGCAGCCATTAAAAAGGCTGCTCTTTTGTTTTTACTACTTGATAAGGGGTCTACACTCACCAAAGTTCATTAAGAACTAGTGGAGGGTCTGAGCAGTTAAAGAAATCAGACTAATGTAGCTTAATTTACATGTAAAAGAGCCAAGTGACCCCTAATTTGTATGTTACACTGACAAACAATGTTGAATAAATGTAGGATGAAAAATATATGCTGAGCAGAGAAATCTTTGGAGAATGGGCATTTGTGTGTGTGCTGCAAAATGAAGAAATAATAATTCTGCTCCTCTAGTTGCTTCAAATTAATTTTGTTGTTGTATGGTGGTAACAACAGTTTCATAGGGGAAAGCACTAC